TCTCTGCTTTGCACTCTTTTTTTTCCATTGCTATGAACTTATTTGATTGATTCTTGGCTTGAGAACCTTGTTCATGTGCTGTTGATACCGATTCTTGCAACAATTTTTTTTTAAAATTTTGAAGACTTTTGTGAGGCTTATCCTTGTACTAACAATATTTTTGAGAATCTCTTGGCAGATGACTGAAAGAACCAACTCTTTGGCCAAGAAGAAGGGCCCTGCATCCAACGGCAAAGGTTTGGTCTCAGGAACTTCAAAGCCAAGAGACAAAGGTCAAGGTGCAAAGAATACCACAAAGCACGGAAAGTGTGATCCAGCGCCAAAAAGGACAAGGCCTGAAGGAAGAGCTTTGGTGGTTGCTTCTGGTTCCAAGAAAAAGGGGAAACAGTTGGCTGTGGTATCTGAGAGTGAACAGACTGAAAGTGACTCCAGCAGCTCAGCTGGCGGTTCCCAAGGCACCATTGAAGAGGGATCAAAGAAGTTCAAGAAAACTGAACCAGAAACACTTGATTATCTGGCTAAGTTTCAGCAGATAGAGATCCAGCAAGGGAGATTCCCTGATTTGGACTTTCTGAAGAAGATTGGCCTCTATGAAGATATCAAGACTTTGCTTGGGAACATGGGTGTTGAGTCACTTTTGGAGATGAGAGAAATCGCTTATGAGCAAGAGTCCCAAGAGTTCTTGGCCTCCTTTGAAGCTTTCATTTACTACCCAAGGGATTCAAGAATCATTCAAGGAGATGGGCTTGGACATGTGGAGTTTACTGTGCAAGGGAAGGAGTATTCAGTGTCATTCAGAGAATTGAATAAGATCTTTGGGTTTTCAGCACCTAGAAATGAACTTCTCTCCAACCAGGTCAATCTCAGAAAAAATGAGATCCAACTTCTATGGAGATCAATTGCTTCTGGGAAGTATAGAGCTGGAACAGCTAAGGCCTCTTGGATAAGGAATCCAGTCCTGAGATATGTACACAAGATTCTCTCTCACAGCTTCTACTTCAAGATTGATGTTGGAAGAGTTCACAAAGGAGATCTGATGCTTCTTGGTGTAGGGCTGAGACCGCTGATGCCAACACATGAAGATGGGGAACCCTATGAAGGGTATGAATACCCACTTTGCCTTGCATCTCAATTAGCAAGGTCTTTGATGTTCTACAAAAAGTGCATGTGGGGTTCTACAAAGCAAGATGCAAAGCTGACCCATGGATGGGTGGTAACAAAGATCTTGAAAGCCATGGGGTATAGATTCAAGGAGAGCAAGGCAAAGTTTGATCTGATTAATGAAGCACATTTGTGTAGGATTGGCTTTCTCCAAGGAAGAGTGGGTACCAAGGTAGTCTACAACTTCAAGACACTCATCAGTGAGCCAGCCCAAGTTCTCCTACCCAATCCCTCCATCACCACAGTCCAAATTAAAAGGAACATTCACTTCTTCTTGCTGAAGGAAGAGCTGTACAATGTCCAAACTGATCCACCAATCCTCACATACAAGCAAGCTTGCAGAGAAGAAGCCTCCAAGGGAAAGAAAGCAACCGCTGAAGATGCTACCACAAGTGCAGCTGGTGCTCAAGATGCTGATCTGCCTCCACCTCAAAAACGTTTTGGTGGAAACAGATATCACTTTGATGATTACAACTGGGAGGAACCAGGCACTTCAGGGTTCAGAGCTCAACAGAAGATTGGTATTCTCCAACAATGGTGCAAGTACCAAGACAAAACCATCCACAAGATGGCCAAATGCATCAAGGAGATGAAGAAGAGGATCAAGAAGCTTGAAAACCCTTGCAAAGGTGGGGCTCCAGCACCGGTTTCACCAAGGAACAGAGAGGAAGTTGGGGAGAGTTCCATGAACTGCACAGCCTTGGTCACATATGGAACCACTTGGGTAGATCTTGACGACGGGACTGATGAGGCCAGCCACCATTCTTGGGAAACACCGTCAGGCCACACATCGAACCCCTCCTACTCATTGGGGTCTGATTTCAACAGCCACTAGGTACCACTCAAACCTTGTAAATAGCATGTAGATTTTCTTTTTCTTTTGCATTTCACTTGTTTACTTTGTTTTAAACTCCTTTCTCATGCTTTTATAACACAAGGGACTGTGTTATTTAAGTGTGGGGGAGGAGTTTCATCCTTTACTAATCATGTTTTCTATTTTCTTATTTTACACTTTGAGTCTTGAGTCACATTCTAGTTGCATATTCATCTAAGTGCATATAAAAACCAAAAAAATGGAAAAATCTGAAAATTTTACACAAAAAAATGATCATGTAGTTGCATTCTCATTTTTAGGATTGAGTCTAGATTGCATTTGCATGTAGGTTGCATCTTGCAAGGAGTAATGATAGGTTTTCTAGAGAGTACATCACTTTGAGAACTTGAATTGAATATGCTTTTGAATCTTTTTCTGTGCTTGCAAAGTCTGAAATGATTTGAATCTGAGAAGCAAGTTTGAATTGAACTCAACTCTAATTAAGTGGGAACCTTGAACTTGACTTGAAAATATCTTGTGATGCATTGTTTGAAAAAGCTTGTGGATACCAATATACATACTTGAGCTAGAACCACTGTTTTTACCACTCTTTTCCTTAGCTCAAGTAGCTGAATCCCAATCATGGATCAGTTCCCATACCTTGAACCCATCCTTCTTTTAAGCCAATGTTTGTGTGTGAATTGAAAGGCCACCTTGGATCAAACTTAGCAGAAAGTGTTAGGTTTAGAGCGACAAGGGCAGGTCTCATTGAGTGCTGTGTTCCAACATCAAGGAACTGAGAGTTTTGGCGAGGAATAAGTGTGGGGGAAAAGACCTTTTGGTGAGTGGAAAAAGGTGAGATGAGTGGAAAAGAGAGAGTGAAAATAGCTAGGGGAATGAAAGAAAAAGAAATCAGTCTTGGTGTTTTGAGAAAGTGAGCTCCGGTCTGTTGAAAAGAAAGAGTCTAGCCTCTAAGTTAAAAAGGAAGAAAAGAAGCCAAAGGCTTAAATGTTTTGTTAAGAAAGAAAGAAGAGGCTAGAAGTTGTAAAAGAAAAAGAGCTGTGTAAAGTTTGAGTTCCAAGACTTGAGAGGAAAAGTGAAAAGTAAATCCCCTAGTGAGAGGAAAATGAGAGTGAAAAGTGAGGATTTTTGAGCAAGTGAGGAAGCTTTGAGTAGAGGGTGGGGTGTGATGAGTCTTTGCCCTTGTATGCATAGGTTGCTTTTTACCTTTAGCATTCTGCCAAAGTTTGATCATTCATAGAGAGATCCCTTTGCTGCATTTAACCCACTTGAACACTGATGAGATCATTTTAATCTCATAGCCTCTCCCTAGCCAAGCCAGCTTGTTTAAACCTTGCATCATGAGATCCACCTGATAAAAGCTTAATGAATGTGAAAGAGTTGAGAGAGAGAAGAACTTGTGGAGATCCCTTGCTGAGTTGATATATATCTGAGTATGACTTTGCATTGCATAATTGAGCATGAACTTGAGTTCTCATTGTGATCACTTCTCTCAAAAAGAAAATGTGAACTCCCATTGCATACAACCTCTTTCTCTCATTTGCTCTTTTTGCAAAGGATTTAGTGTGTTGATCATGATTAGTGAGTAGTCACCTTAATGAGGTTCTAGATGTGTAGGTTAGGGTGCTAAAGTGTTAGATTATAAGTGCTTAGGGCTAGATTCATTGATTCATCTCTCTAAACAACTGTTCTCTATGCTAGATCCTTGATAATCACTTGAGATCTAGATTCTGGGAATTTCATGCACCAAAAGTGTTTGATGAAATTCCTGAAAGAGTTGTATTAGAGGTTTAAGCATTTTTCTGCATGATGATGTATTGTTATTTGCTTGAATGATCATTGAGAACTGTTTATTAATGCATATTGATTCATATTTCACAAATGGGAATTTGGTTTGAAAATGGATTAGTATAGGGGTTAATACCTTCATGAGGATTAACCTAGATTAGAGTTCTTAATCATTTGAATCATGTCTCATCATTGTCATTAACATTTCTAGTTTAGCACCAAAGCACCCTAACCAACTATCATGTCTAGAATCTCATGCCTCCATCATATCATATTCACATCATTTGTCATTGCTTAGTTCTTGTTTTCATTGTCATTAGTCTTTAATCCAGTTTATGTTTGTAGTTGTCTCTAGATTAATCAAAACCCACTCTTGTTTGCTTGAATTAAGAACTTGATCACATAGTTTAGTGTCTAACACCACATCTGGATTGATTAACCTCTTTGTGCTACTTTGACAAGGGGATTGATAGCCCTAAGACCTCAAAAACTCCTGTCTATCATAGAGGAAGAGCTGCTCTCCTTCGACTGGTTTTGCTAAGATCGGTGGACTCGCCAGATAATTCTTCAATTCCTGGAAAGCTGCTTCGCATCGCTCGTCCCACTCAAATTTCTTGTTTCCTCGGAGGGTGTCGTAGAAGGACAAGCACTTGTCTGTGGAGCGGGAAATAAACCTGTTTAGCGCGGCGACTCTTCCTGTGAGCCTTTGCACTTCGCGCTTCGTCCTTGGAGAGGGCATCTCAATCAATGCCTTGATCTGCTTGGGGTTTGCTTCTATGCCTCGGTGAGTTACCAGATAGCCGATGAATTCTCCCGAGTTGACCGCAAATCTGCACTTCGCCGGGTTTAGTTTAATGTTGTGCTTGTTCAATTGCTCGAAGCACTCCCGTAGATGCGCGACGTGGTCTTCCTCCTTAAGTGATTTAACTAACATGTCGTTGATGTATACTTCCATGGTTTTTCCGAGCTGAGCCGCAAACATTTTATTGACGAGCCGTTGATACGTTGCTCCTGCGTTCTTGAGCCCGAACAGCATGACTTTGTAGCAGTATATCCCGCGATCAGTTATGAATGCCGTTTTTTCCCGATCATCGGGGTGCATCAGAATCTGATTGTAGCCAGAAAACGCGTCCATAAATGTTAACAGTCTATTTCCTGCAGTGGCTTCGACGAGCCGGTCGATGTGCGGCAAGGAAAAGCTGTCTTTTGGGCACGCCTAGTTGAGGTTAGTGAAATCCACATAGACCCGCCACTTGCCGTTCTTCTTCTTCACGACCACCGGATTTGCGAGCCAGTCTGGGTATTTGGCCTCGGCGATTGATCCTACTTTGAGTAACCTCTCGACTTCGTCGTTAACTACTTTAGCTCGTTCGGGGCCGAGCTTCCTTCTTTTCTGCTTGACTGGCTTAAAGGTCGGATCCACATTCAGCTCGTGACAGGTTACGTCGATGCTTATGCCTGGCATATCTTCCGCTGTCCAGGCAAAAGTGTTGATGTTCTCCTTGAGGAGGGAAAGGAGTTCGCTTCGCAGAGGCTCTTCTAGTTTTGTTCCAATTTCGACGCATCGCTCCGGACGCGCCTCGTCTATGCACACCGAGTCCACTGCGTCACATACCGGCTCGGCGCGTGTTTCGCGGCTCTCCGCGATCTGTAATTGCTATAAAAGTTTCGAGAGCTCGTTCGCGGGCTCTCGGTTTGCCTTCATCATTTTGCGGTCTATGTCTGCTCGTGCGTCGGTAACGGGGTTCCTCAGTTTGTGTTCGGCCAGACAGCCCCCAGATCGTTTTGACACCCGCTGGAGTTGGGAATTTGAGGCAGAGATGATAGGTGGAGGGTACCGCCCTCATCCCGTTGATCCATGGAGTTCCCATGATCACATTGTAGATTGCTGGGTGATCAGTGACGCAGAATTCGACGATCTTAGTGACTCCGCCAGATACCACGGGAAGCCTGATCGTTCCCATAGTCATCGTTGTTTCTCCTGAAAATCCAATTAGAGGTTTGGGGATTGATTCCACCTCGGAGAGGTCGATTCCCATTCTTCTGAGTGTTTCCTTGAAGATGACGTTCACTGAGCTTCCAGTATCGATGAGCACCCTTGCTACGTCATGATCCCTGATCGTTAACTCAATCACCAACGGATCGTTGTGAGGTCGATCGATTCCTGCCGTTTCCTCCTCGGCGAAGGAGATCACTGTGTTTGGGATGTCGGTTGGTTCTGTCCAATTCTCCTTTGCTTCGGCTCGGCGCTGATAGGCTTTGATGGAGGACACAGTATCTTGGTAGTATTGAGATTCACCCATGATCATATTGATCCTTTGCCTCGGCTCGGGGGTCGCTCTTCGGGTTCGCCTCTCCTGTCGCGCTTGGAGTTATCGCCTCGTCGGGGAGGATTCGCGGGTTCCGCCGCGCCGCTCGCGTTTTGGAGCTCTCCCGCTGCCATCTTAGCCGCGAGTTTCGCTCCTAGAGTTCGGCATTGTGCTGTTGAGTGCCCGTAGGTCTGGTGATACTCACAGAAAGCCTTCTCGTCGTAGTTGGCGGACTTTCTCACCCAAGTGTTGTTGCGCGGCTCTCCTCTTCCGCGTCCGGTGCCTACCTGATAGTTATGGGCACCTCCGCTTCTAGTTCATCCGAGCTCTGCGTTGTTGTGTTGTTCGATGGGTTGCCCTTCTTCGCGGGGCGCGGAAAAATTGAACTTCGGATTGCTGCTTTCGTTGCTTCGTTCTGTTCGTCCAAGTTTTTCATTTCCTCCTCGTTTACGACGAAGTCTGATGACCGGTGCAAAGCGTCTTGAATTGTTTGTGGCGTGTTGAGTGCCATCTCCCGTCGAAACTCGGATTTGTACCACAAAGATCGTTTCAGAGCCTCGAGCGCGGCCTTGTCACTTATCCCTTCTATTTTGGACACGACTGCCTTGAATCTTGCCATGTAATCCCGAAGCGGTTCGTTTGGTCCTTGGGATAGTGGCCACAGGTCGGCATCGGATGTGCCTCTGTCCATAAACTTCGAGTATTGTTTAAGGAATAAGGCGAAGAGCTGTTAAAAACTGCCGATTGAATTGCGTTCCTGTCTTGAAAACCACTCGAGTGCGGCCCCCTTAAGATGCTCCACGAAAAGCAGGCAGTATCCGGCATCTACTTCCCGCTCGGTCAGTTTGGCGGCGTTCTTTGTGAAGGCTCGTCCCATTGCTATCCAAAACACTGTTATGTGTGCTTTCGGGTCGGTTGTTCCTTCGTAGAACGGGATTCTCACCTTCCCCGGCTCGGGAATCCTGGCCTCCGTGATTCTTGCAGTGAATGCAGTTCTCTGAGTTTCTTCAAGCATTCCGTCGATTTCGGGCACGGCGCTTGTTGCGTTGTGCACTTGGAACTTCATGGCGCGTATTCCAGCTACTGTCCGAGCCATTGAGGCTCGCAGCTCTTTGAGTTCGAGAGTTTGTGCGTGAGTCGCTCCCGCTCTTCTCTCCTCGGCTCGTCTTCGCGCTTTGCCTGCTCGATCCATTGGAGGTTTTCTTCCTCCTCGGTTGGGTTGTCGCCGCGAGTCGGATCAGAGACTTTGTCAGTTTGAACGCCGTTTAGTGCCGAGGCGAGCTCTTCTTGACTTATTCGCCGAGCCGAGCTGGTTTGTTGCGGATTCGTGGTTTCGTCGTTCTGCTGGGCGTCCACGTCGATCGCATCTTTCTCTTCCTTGCCGGCTCGTCGCCTTAAGTTCCGGCGGAGTGGAGGCGGCACGATCATGTTGACTCGGGTTGCCGCAGGAGTCTGTTCTTCGAGGGGACAAAACATTGGAGGAGCCGAGGGGTTTCTTGCGCCGCTCCCTGAGGCTTCTGCAGGTTTTGAGAAATCGAAGCGTCTCCGGATTCCATCCATCGGGTCGGGAATTCCGGCTCTCCAAGTTGGGTGTAGTCGCTCAGCCGCCATCGCGTCGAGCCTCTCCGTAATCGCCTCGTTTCTTTTGTCCTGTTCGTCGATTTTCTTCATCAACGCAGCCATCATGTTTCGCATCTCCTCTTGGGTTTTGGTAGTTGTCGTCGTTGTGCCCGATGCCGGAGCGTCCATCTCCGCGTCATTACCGCTGTTGTTGTTATCATCGTGGGTGTTGCTCGCCATGTTCTTCGGATCTTAAAGTCTTGTCGATTTAGAGTAAGAAAGTTTCGTCTCCCCACAGACGGCGCCAAATTGTGTGAGCCAAAACTCGCACAACCAGTAATTTGTTTAAGGAAAACTAAGGGATCGGAAACTTCTAGGGTTTATCGTCAAGAACAGTAAGATCGAAAGGAAGTTTTTCTTGCTGTAAAAGTGTTTAGCTTTTATTGCTTAGGGTTGCCAAAGTTACCGAATGAATTGTATACATCGTTTATTTATACTAATTCTCTGAACCGCCTAGCCGAGAATTTCGGGAGAGATTTTCGGAATATTTCCTTATCGCCTCGTGCGGCTCACCGCCTTTGTATTTCACCTAGGTTTTCTATGGGCTTCGTCTTTCAAGGCCTTGACTCGGCCTAATTGTGAAAGGAAGTGGCTCGGCCCATTCTCTTTTTTATGCAGCTCGGTCCACCCGCTTTCTATCACAGCTCGGCCCACTGGACGTTCTTCCCGCGGCTCGGCCTACTTGTTCCTCTTCACGGCTCGGCCCATCATTGCACGGCGTGGCCCATCTTTCCCTATTCACGGCTCGGCCCATCTGCCTTTCTCCACGGCTCTCCCAATTGTCTATCTTCCACGGCTCTCCCACTTATCTTTCTCCACGGCTCTCCCACTTGTCTTTCTCCACGGCTCTCCCACTTGTCTTGGTGAGCACGACTCGGCTAATTTGTCTTTCTTCCATACTTAGTCATTTTGAGATGGTTTTATCCGCATGGGGTGAAAACCAACCCCAACAATGTGCTTAGCTACCGCCTAGTCTAGTCCTAAATCATGAATGAGCATGTCACTAGGAACAGTCTAAAAGCACACAGTCAACTATCATTGATTCATGTTCACCATTCCCTTTAAAACGTATTTTGTTTTGAAAACCGATTTTGAAAAACTTTAAGGAAAATGAAAAAATTGTACATAATGCAAGACTCATGAAAGAAAAGTGGTTAGAAAGGGATGAAATCCTCCCCCAGACTTAAATCACACTGTCCTCAGTGTGAAACAATTCCAGATTGGATGAGAAAAATGCATAGATAATCGAATTGGTAAGGCCAAAGAGAACTTACCTGGATCCGGAATGTTGGTGGAGATGAACCGGATTCATTCGAAGAGGTTTGGGAAGGTGATAGGTGGTGATGAAGGTGGTGGAGGGTGATGAATGAGGTGGAGTGGGGATTGGTGAGGTGGAATGAGGTGAAGTGGGTGGTTTGGGGTCGGGTTTGATCTCAACGACCATTTGCCGCGGTCAGAAAGATGCAGCCGCGGTCGAACATGTGTTTCCCACGGTCAGAACACCTGCGACCGCAGGGGCCTATATCGCGACCTGTTCCTGGTTCTCCCTGGTTCCTGCTGGGCCGAGCAGTCAGGGACCATCCTTCTTTTTGGTTTTTTTGGGTTTTTTGATTTTTATTGGCTTTTTTGTTTTATAAGAAACACCTGAAACTAAGAAAAAGAAAAAGATCAATAGAAAAGAAAGAAAAATTCTAGAGAAAACAATACATAAATGGGTTGCCTCCCATTAAGCGCTTATGTTTTAAGTCGTTTAGCTCGACTTTTGGTGTTGGACGTGGCTTAGTCCAATGAAGAAGACCCTGTCCTGAGACAAGTCTTTTTCGACACCTCCTTGCTTTCCTTTGTATATCCCTTATAACGACATTCCCAATTGGAAATTTTGTCTGAGGTTCGAGATGGTAGTTTCCTCCAGGATCAAAAATCAGTCTTGGAGCTCCTTTGAGGCATGAGTCTTCAACACCACTTGTGATAGGAGAACGTCTTAGATGCTTGTATGATAAGGTCTCTCTCACTTCATGACATTGAACCATGTTGCAAGATACAAGGACAGATGATTCTTTATGATCTGAAGTGGTGGAGATGGTTAAGCATCCAAGGTGAGGACAATTTGGTCGGAGAGGTATCGCCATGTCTTGAACTATCCAATCGTCGGTATAAAGAGCATTCTCCGCGGGTGGAAATGTCGCGACCGCGGAGAAACAGGGGTTGGCCGCTGGTAGTGCACACGCACCGCGGTGCCGAATGTCTTAGGAAAGATGTTCAGATCCTCTAGCTTCTTGTCTCCAATTATTTTTCCTTGTGGAGAGTCTTCAGAAAAGAGTCTTGAGAGCCATTTAAACTTCACTCTTGCTTCAATTAAGTCTGCATCACCTCTCATATGAGCATTGGTTAAAGGTGTGCATAAGAAAATACCTTTGTTTGTCAAACTTGTAAATCCGGCGTTTTCTTTGGGTGCTCTTCTTTCTAGAACGTATCCAACATCCTTTGTAGCTCCTCCAGGGTCAAATATTGGATCTTCTATGCTGCCTATGATCAAATAATAAGAGTTCCTTGTAGTAATCACCGGGTATGGGGTTTTCTTGTTGATCTTCAGGAAACTCATATGTTGATGCAGGTAGTTGATGAGTGTTCCAACAGATGCTAGGAACGAAGTACCAAGTATCAAGGGTTTTGTTGCATTGTTTTTTTATCTCCATAGCATGGGAACCAGTAGAAACAAGACAACCTTTCCCTTGAAAAGGCAATTCTGGTTTGGAACCAAGTAGAGCTGCACCCAAAAAATCTCTATAGTGAATATAAATCTTAGAGGGATGAAAAATCGAAATACCTATATTGTCTGCAATGGCCTTTGGTATGAGATTCAAATCAGGTCCAATGTCACAAGGACAATCACGAAATTTCACTCCCTTGATTGAGAACGGGGCATCAAACTTCTCGGGATCCTTCGTCTTAGAAAGCGCCTCCAATGGTGGTTTTGATGTCACCATTAGTGTCTCCTCTTTCACATGGTCTGTCTCACAGTCAAGATGGTGAGGAGCTGAAGGAGAAAAAGGCTTTGGTTCATCAAGAGGAAGTGACTTATGATCTTGTATGTTATCTCCAAAACACTTGAACGAATCGGTAGAGACGAGATCGTCACAAGGGATGGAAAGAGGTTCTCCTTTTTCTTGATGGCTGGCTTCCATGACGTGATGATCCAAAGGAATTTCATTTGATGGCCACTTTCTAACAAACTTGATGGAGGATTCTCCATCTACTTCACAAGCTACCCAATACCCATCATCCATAGATTCATTGAGCTCTTGAAGCATATCATCATGGATATCTCCGTGGGCATTGTAAGTTGAATAAGGGTCGTGGTCCCAGTAGAATCCTTGTTCCTCTAAACCTTCGCGAATTGATTTGTTGTGGCTGCGAAGTCCTCTGGTGTGGTGGTTTGGAATCGAATTCTGACCCATTGAGTAGAGATTACGAACGTATTGTGCTTCTTGGCGTCGAGTGGCTTGAGGAGTGTTGTAAAAACCTCCCTCATAGTAGTAATTTCGTTTCATATGGTTCATTGCTTCATAACCTGAAACTAGAAGAACCAAAAACGAAAATAAGTAGAAAAGGTGTTCTAGAGTCGATTTACCAACCTTTCTTAGCGTTTTGCGGAAAAGAAAACGCGTGCCTTCCCCGGAAATGGCGCCAAAAACTTGATGTGGTGTGTCGTGAGGGTGTCAAGTTTTACCCTAAATAAAATCAATAGCCACAAGTGCACAGCTGATCGATTGTAGTACTTAGGGATCGAATCCACAGGGAAGGAGGATCTTTCCTGCAAAAGCCTTCGAAAGAAACATAAAGTAAGAAAGTCTAGAACCAGGCGAGTTTTGTGAGGGTTTTGGTGGTGTGTTTAAAACGTAAAAATAAATTTTAAAGAGAAACTACGGGAATTAAAATGACCTAATAACTAAACTTAACAAAAAAGGGTAAAAACGAGAAAAACGGCTAGACCTAATTGCTAAGCGAAAATCGATTGAAAGAGTAAAGAAACTAGATTAAAGCTTGAATGAAAATCGGTAAATCTATAAGAAAAAAAGAGCGCTGGGGTTCAGGGAAGTTTTCTCAGGGGTACGAACGATTCAAATTATTGCTAGAGAATAAATTTGATAAGATCTTAGCTTAAACTTTTCGAACTGGAGTCACGGACGTATGAATACGACACTGTCGTGATCATAGACAACTATCTCTCTCAACCCTGACCAGTAGGTTTCCACTCCGGCCCTGGAAAAGAAGAGGTGCATTATGTTTAAGACTCGTCAGCATTCACAAATCGCCCATAGGTAGCTTTCCACTCCTATGTTTGTTTTGCTCTCCCAAACTAGATCTGACACCGGATGAACACTTTCGTGTCACCAAGCATCTGGATCAGATTGTAGTTCATGACGCTACTCTCATGCAGTAAAA